CCCCGCCCAGTACCGTACCCACTTTTACCTGTCCCCAACAGTTCTGGGGCAGCTTGTCCCATCTCTACCCCAGTTGTTACCATGGCCCAACTGTTTTCTTGGTATACGTAACGAGCGAGCCCTGGTTACAAACAAACATGGAGACAAACAAACACAACAGACTACTGCTTTCTTATATGGAGGGGATTGTATTTTTAGCCTCAACACACAATTCTTCGCATTGTTTCGTTTGATAGTTGCGAATCTGTCGTCAGTTTCCTCATGTTTTAACTGCATTGTGTTGGATACACTTTTGACAATATTCACGAGCATCCTAGAGTCGGAAGGGTTAGCGTTAACCGTGTGAGGCCACAAATACCATCTGTTACAATAAGGTAGAGCCAATCACCAAACAGTGGTATTCAAAACATGGAACTTCAGAAGGATTGCATGTAAAAAGAATATAACGATCTAAATGTTCCAGCCAAAAATCCTGCTCATTGCGGCGTAAATGTATTTCTTGAAATTTAGCATTATAGCCATTTTTGTGCCTAACACTGTGGATGAATAAACAGATATCTATTCAAACTTAATCGTAGGATCGAACGCAATCCACTCCTAATAGACGACGAATTGTGACTAACGCACTAGCCTCCCCTTAGCACTAAGATTAAAAAAAAAGATGAAGAAGCTTCCCAAAGAAAAACAGAAACTGCAGTAAATGGAATGGGACTATTCCAGTGAAGCACTCTTTGCGCGAGTGTTTCTGTTGCAGAGCTCTGAAAAACTACTGCTGCCGAATTCTACTGAATTCAGAGTATGCCAATTGATAATACTCTTAGGATGCGCCACATTCGACTAACGTAAGCGTATTCGGCCTATACCATGACTTACAGAGCGTAAAAGTTCACTTATCATTCTATGAAGATATGAAAGAATCAGTTGACGTGTGAGTAATTAGACTTTGTAATTCTTTCCCGAATATCCCGGAGTATGAACGACACTACACTGTCCGTCAAGAAAAAAAAATAATATTTTAGTATTTCGCAAAAAACATGAGTCCAATTAAAACTATCACTCAACTTTTCCCGCCTAGATTAGTGGTTCTCGCTGTCAGCAGGGTTCGATTATCACCAATAAGTTCTACCGAAACTATCACCGGCGCTTTCAACATAAAGGCAACGCAAAGTTTACAACATCCTTTGAAAAAGAAAAATCTGGAAATAGCCGATGGAGGGGACATTAAGTTTCAAATACATGAAGTCCTTGCACGATAAGTACCACTTCAGGTAATCGAGTTTTTGAAAAAAAGGCTTCTACATAGATCATATGCCGAACCAGTAGACTCTTGAGAAATTTGGTACTCCAAGGGGTGAAAATGTAGTCTGGGGGAGCCACTCATAATATCTAATCGAACTGACAATATCAATATCTAATCGAAGTGGAGCTGCGGAAGGGCGGTCATATCTAATCAACATCCAGAGCACAGTCTCTGAGTGTATGATTAGATAGGGATACCAACCCGAGATTCCATACAAAATCGGATACCTGAAAGGCCCTTTCTTCGAGGGCTTGCATGGCAGTCGCAAGAAGGTTTGTGAAAGTGAAGCCAGCAAGGTAGCAGCCATTTTAGCCATAGAATAATATGACAAGGGTAAGCGTACTAGTCGTAGGCCACGGTCTCAGTGAAAGATATGATAAGATATAAGTGCCTTCCCGCAACTCTACTTTGATTAGATATGAGTGTCTTTCCGCAGCTCCACTTCGATTAGATAGGGTGGCCCCCTCAAACTACATTTTCACCCTCCAGGGATAGCTGAAGAAGATTAAAAGCAACCGTTGCTCAAGGAAATTCCGGAAAATGAATTAAGAGGAGAACTTAAATTGTATGTTCAAGATGTTGTCATTTGAGAAATTGCGCATTCCTTGTAGACTGCAATAAAACAGCTTTTCACAACCTTCGCATGAAGGCCGGTAAACCCGCCACACCAAGTTTGATGCGTTTTAGGAAAACATATCAATCAGTGCAAGAAATATTGAGCATCAGCACAACCTTTCGCGTTCCCTCTGATGTGAGCATCATGAATAAGTATTCATTGGCGATATTTATCTTATCCATTGCTGATACATTGTTCAAAAAAAGACCGACCTGGATTCCTTTCTCCGGCAAGTAACCTCATACAGTTTACATTCAAACACTTTTCAAAAATATTCAGCATTAGATAGATAAAAAAAAGCTGACTTTGGCTTGTATATTATGGAGAATCATTTTCAGGTGCACTTACCTGAATACAATGGAGACCATTGTTCATCACATACACCATTGCATGGACTCTACGGCGGATTCCTTCCAGTAAACGACTATATAAAGCAGTTGGACATTCACCAAAAACGACCGGAACCGTAACGTTCAAATTGGCGCTAACACGCTGATACTTCGTACCATCTGGAAAGTGTCACTAGCTTGCATAGCATATAATTATTTGATGAAAGCTTCAGCAGTCAGACCTACCACGAGTTACTCGAACAATCGGCACCATCTTCTGATCCTCTGAATCGTCCTTGTTATTGAAAGCAAGGCAGCGATAAGCAGAAAGCTCCACGTAATCCTGAGACAGCAGTGACCATGTAACCAATCTTTTTTTCTCAACAACAATGAGCGGAACCATTTCCAGGCCAAGTTCGTGTGTTCATTCATAATTTTATAAATGACATACCTTATACTGTAAAGCACCTCGTGAAAGATCATCGAGAATGTGGCGGTTCTTTTCCACTGTTTCCTTGTTCATGTCTTTACGTAGCAGAAGCCCTCTTTCAACATTTGCGAAGGATAACTGATCCAACCTTGCCGTATACTTTTCCATACCACATTGTAGATCTTCAGCTTCAAGCCCTCGTCGCAGAGCACATGAGAAACCGACCTTCAAAGGCATTCTCATAACACCCGAAGAAATGGGCGCAAGCTGAAGTTCTGTTTCGAGGCTATTGTTTTACCTGGATCCTGACAGATAACCCGTCAGGGATGAGGGTACTATGCCTCAACAGATCGTTCTGGGTTAGGAAAGTTGTCGCATCAGCGGCATCCAGTATTGCTCTTGTTGTTGTAAGAGTAAAGCCATCTCCTATGAGTGGAGCATCGTCGTCTTCTACATAAACATTTCCCACAAGCTGGACATCTGGAACATATGCTCGCGTACGGTTTCAGCAAAACACATGTTTAACACATTGGCGACCATGCGATCATTCGGTGTTCCTAAGAAGTGCATCCTGGGAACACACCTATATAAACAAAACCCAAAACAAAGGAAGCCCTTTAGCTTGTTTGTTTCAAACCACGCTGGTGACCATCATACAAAATAAGAACCCTCCGCCCGACTAAGGAGGAACCCTGACAGTACCTCCACAGACCCTATTTTCCACTGAAGAATCGCAAACGCGGTTGCTTCTATCTCTTTCTGAGAAAGCTGTATCATAAGGCTAGCTAACTGCGAGAAAAAAAAACAGTCCCATAATCCGGAAATCAAAGAAGCACTCTCAAGCGTCCCTCGAGTAAAACACTCACTATGAAGTATGCGCATCAGTGAGTGGTCACCATAAACCATACAATGTGAGTGAAGCATAAAGCAAAGTGGAGCTCGAAACCGAATGCTTCTGCATCTGCTCGTAGAATCAATGAAGCCTGGGATGAAGGCACGGTTGCAGAGAAGACTGTTCGAGAGCGTTTGTTGATTACGCATTCATTGTTATTTTGTTTGGTTTTGTTAAAGGCAAGAGGCGGGCTCAATAAGGGGGTATTATGGCGATTGAAACTGAGTATGGAGATGCG